CTGAAGTGTACCTGGCGTATAAGACGACCCCCCACTTGGAGGCATATTTTTCAGGGCCAAAAAATCGTCTTATACGCCGGCAAATACGGTATGCATATATATACATATGTATATATATGTGCGCATATATATATATAATGAATTCTGCTTGTTCAGTGTACTAATTATATATATTTAATAGCATTTTCTGACTCTTGAAATTCATATATATAATATTAAGGCAAATAAAATAATGCAATAACAAAACTTATTTCCTTACCTGTAATGCTAATAATTTTAAAATGCCTGAGACATCATTATCTTCTAGATTTTCCTGGGAGAATATTTCATAAAGGGGGGCTTCATCTGGGTATTTTTCACTGTATGTAAACTTCAGAGTAGTCTGGACAGCTAAAGACACAAGGTAAGAGTTTGATATGAATACCTTAAAATGTAAAGTACAGAGAAGTCTACATCTTTGTTGAATCAGTAATTAATTTACAATGTGTCAATGAAAAGTACATTAGGTTTTCCTGCAAAGAAAAACAAGGTTACTATGAGACCAGACAGAAAAATCACTAATATGAACAACACATACCACAAAGATAAGTGAAAATCATGGGAATACCAAAAATCACTTATAACACATGAAATACACTTACTACTTATTAGTATTCTACCATATTGCATGTCTGAGAAAGAGGATGGATAAAAGCCACTCTTTTAAAAACCCTCCTTAAGACGAACAAAGGCACTGGATATAACAGAAAAAGTACTGAATAAGGCTCATTTTCAGGCCTCTACTAGACTGAGTTCCCAGTGCAGATCTGGTGTTACTCCTGGAGTCCATATTTCTGTCTGTACAATGCCAGCAGAGGGTTGCAAGGGGTTGCTGGATGACATGGTTTTGAACTGCACAGTTTGAGAGGTTGTCTGAGAAAGTTTTAACTTGACTCATCTATACATTCTCACTCTTTGGGCCTGTGCCAATTCAAAGATTTCACGCTTGTATAGGAGTGAGATTCTTATAGGCACATCGGTACAAGGTCTCTCTCTGTAGCCCAGCCTAGTGAATTCTCAGTTTCACTAAGCAATTGGCAACTAAGCTGATGTAATACACATATTCTGTTAAAACTTATTAGCCACCATGATCCCTTGTCTAGATTTCGCCTTTCTTGTAACTCACATTTTAATTATTAAAACCTTCTGATTTTGATGATTTTAACTCAAATCTAGTTTTCTCTCCATGGGAGAAAAAAAAAACACCTTAAAATGTGCTGGTTTGCTCTTTTGTATTAATTTTGTGTAGGATGTCAACCAAATATTTTATGGTCAATGGCTATAAGAAAGAGTGTTAGGTCAGTAAGAAATACACAGTGTCTTTGGCAGTTTTCTTTTTTTATTAACAGTTTTTAATTTTATTGCTAAAAAAAGAAGTTTTTAAAACAAATTGTTAATTCTACTATATGATATAATAGACATTCGTTATAAAAAATTTAGAAATACACTAAGGTAAAAATAAAATCAATAATAATCCCATTATCAGGAAGCGATCACTGTTACCATTTTAGTATATTTAAATTATAATATCTTTAAAGTATTGTTTAAAAGGATACTTTAAAGTACAGTAATACCTTGGTTTGCGAGCATAATTTGTTCTGGAAGTAAACTACTCATACTGCAAGACACTGCTCGTTTACCAAGTTAAAATGTACTTGGTTTGTGAGCATAATTCGTTCCGGAAACAAACTACTCATATTGCAAGACGTCGCTGGTTTACCAAGTTAAAATGTATTAGAAATGTTTGCTCGTCTTGAGGAACACTCGCAAACCATGTTACGCGCAATCCAAGGTTTTACTGAATCTTTCTATGCATATTTACATTTTAAACAAAATGTAATTGCTCATTTTTTTGAGATTTTATATATATATATATATATATATATACAAATATCTATATATAAATATTATGTATAAATATACTGTATGTAAATAACTGTACCCAACATTCTTTTAATTCAGATTTTAGTATTATCTCTATACTAACTTCATTTTCAGTTATATAAGACAGATTTAGTTATCAAGTGATACCACTAAAATTAGTATTACATGGCAGAATTTTAGTTGACTAGCTTAACAGAGAAAAAAAAAAATCCTTGGAGTTAACACCAACTTACATAATGTTTTTATCAAATTACAGCATTAGCTGAACTGGACTAAAGGTAGAGATGAACGTCAGATATTCCCCACCAAACATCTACCAAGTTTAAATTAATTTATTACTTTTATAGATGCTTTATTTCAATTTGTGTATCTTAGTTCTATAGTTGTGTAATAGTGGTTTTACCTGGTTTTATACAAATATATTTATATAACAGTAGAATATCCATCTTAAAGAGAGAAAAAAAACACATACAGATAGGTGTTTATCCGGCCTAATTTATTAACAGCAAAAATCCAGTAAACAATCTAAATGTCCAAAAACAAAAAACAGTCATGAAAAAATAACAATCTCTCAATGGAATAACACACAATCACTGAAATGTGTGCACATGCAAAGTCTTGTTATGGCCAAAAATCTGTTACCCTTTCTCCATCTGGGGTATTGTTAATGTTTCTGTTTCACTATTAAAAACTAAGCTTATTGTGTCAGAATATATCTCGTTGACTTCCTCTCTATTTCTCTGTAAGTCATGTTTACATCATGCTACCAACTAGAAACACACAACACTTAAACTAGATTCTTAACAGCATGTCAGCACCTTTGCACCTGCAATGCCTAGCACAGAATGGCTGCAGATGAGTAAAATTCCTGAGAAGTTTAGAAAAACTGCAAGTATTTTTTATTAGACTTACTTTCATCATTTTCTCCAGCCTCAGATGTCACAGTAATGGTGAAGCTGTGTGGATTTTCTGATAATACTGCAAGAAAATATACACAAAGGTTAAGCTATGAACAGGCTTCCTAAGGCAGATGCTTTTTCTTATTAGCAAAATATCACTACCCAGTCTGGGAAACTAATCCTTAGCCCGAATTTCCATTTCCACAAATACAAACTGAACAGAACATTCAAATGATAAAACACATCCATCAATTTTCTATTTAAATCTTGGGTTATCTTTAATCTGGAAAGAAATACCTATAGTAGATACCCTCCTGGAGATTTATCAAATCAATTAAAATAATTAAGTAATTTACCTTTTAATTCAAAATTCCCACCTATATAAGGAAAATTACACTCTAAAAAATCCCCAAATGGAATGACAAAAAAGCTTGATGTTTCTTATTAGAAACTATATTAATATATATTCAGTATTATCACTAATTTTTATACTTATATGTTCTGAAATATAACTCAGAATCTCCACGACAAATAGTAAATAATAATGTTAGAGTTTGTATCTTCTAGTTATCTCTTTCTCCCACATCATCTCGAGAACCAAACTTTATTCTTTCACAAATTAGAGCCTCTACCATCTTTCATAGAATGACAAAACTGGCCATAAATCCAAACATCAAATTGCTTACAATTTGTTAAGCAAGGCAAGACACATAAATCAACATTTACATGAATAAGAAAGCTTTATGTACCATTTTATACCCTGATGTCTATCTGATACTATATATCTGTTTATTATCTATTTCCCCACAAGAGTACTATAATAACTCCATGAGGGTGCCTAGATCAGTGCCTGGCAGTATCTAGAAACTCAGTAAATTTTGGCTCAATGAAAGAAATAAACTCATGGAAGGAGAAGAGAAACAAAAACAAAACTTGCATTCAGAACCATTAGAAAAATAAACAAGGAAAATTCAAGCCACCCATGATAGCTGCTGTGCCTCACTCCAGGCCAGGAAAGCATCAGCCTCTATCAAGGTTGGTAGCAGCTCAGTAGCCTCTTTTCGAAATGAAAAAGCAAGGTGATCTCTGAAGAAGTCACTATGGAAAGTACTCAGGTTTTCCTACTCTGGAACTTTGGAGGCCTTCATAAATAATCATTATCAATAAAATTTTCAAGACAGATGACTTCATTTTAATTGAAGTTTAAAAGTACTTGAAGCAATGATGAACATCTATGATTAATAGGAAAGTGTCGTCGAAAAGATAAAAGACTCACTGGACTCATATTTTAATAGGCCTCCGGCAGGCCAGCCCATGCTGAAAAAGTCCCTGAAAGGAAATTATAATAAAGCTTCTACAATATTATTGGCTTTACCTATGAAAATAAAGTTGCAAGTTTAGTTGTGGAGAGTGATAGTTTTGTTTTTTTTTTTGTTTTTTTTTTAGCAGCAGCAATATGGTCAGAATTGTATTTCTAAACATAGGAATATAAATCTAGCAACAGTGCGTAAAATGGAAGGAAAGAAACAAGGTTACACGCAGGATAAAACTAGATAGTTACTGAAATCATCCCAGCAAAGTTAATGAGGTTTTGAACTAGGTTGGCAGCGCTGGAAAAAGCAGGGAACATGGTGATGAATGACATTCTGAATTTGAAGGCAGAGGATGGTGGTGTCACTAACAAAAACAAGAAATACAAAAGAAAAATTAAATATGACATATTTGAAGGCCATAGGACAGTTTCAGTTGGAAGTACTGAGTATGCAATCAGAAATGAGCAAACAGAGCTAAAGAGAGCTGGCCTTGAATTTAATCTGGGATCATCCACAGAGAGCTGATAGCTAAAGCCATTAGACTAAATGAGATCATTAGAGAGAAAACAGAGAGAGAAATAAGGACCAACACCAGCTTTGTAAGGAATCTTTAAATTTGGGGAACAAAAGTAAGAGGAGGAAAAAGTGCCAGAGATTAAAAGTTTTCTTTTGCAGCAGCCATGCATGAAAGGTTAAAAACAAACTCAGGGGCCGGCCGAGTGGCTCAGTTGGTTAAGAGCTCGCTCAAGAGTGCGAGCTCTGAGCAACAGCAGTTCGATTCCTGGCCCGAGCTGAGCTGCTGCTGAGCTGCCAACAGGTGGCAGGATGGCTCAGCTTAAAACAAAAAACAACAACAAAAAAACCAAACTCATGAAAAACCTGTTTTATTTGTAAAGCTACCCCAACTGTCGAGATCCAGGTCTGACATGGCAGTGTCTACAATGTGCACCTACAATGTGTATGTGGGGAGACAATGGGCAATGAACCCTTGGCCTGTAAAAACATATGTAAATTCCTAACAACGTATATAAATTCCTAACAAGGCCCTTTGTGATCTGGCTCCAGCCTGTCTGTCAGGTCTCATTCTCCATGACTCACTTCTGACTTTGTTCTAGCAATACCAAGCCACTTGTCCTGTGAACACATTTTGCTGTCTCAGTCACGCTTCTGCACATGCTATGCTCCTTCCCCACATCTCCTTCGTAACTCCTCCTCACTCCTCAGTTCTCCAGAACAACTCAGGTCCTCCCCTTTCCTCATGCTCCAGTTGCATCCTATACATGCCTCAATGAAAGAGTCATCACACTGTGTTATAAATTACTTATCTGATGTCTTTTCCCAATAGACTGAGCTTCTCACAATCACATAAGGTAAATATTTGGGAAATGAGGACATGGGGATGCTAGCAAGAACATCACTGAACTGCCTGGCCTTGGAGCCAGACACAATAAGGAGGCAAGATAAGCAAGAAAGAAGTTGATAAACTATCAATCCATGATAAATCATGAGAGGCATGTTAAGTAAAATCATGGGAACGGAAGAACTGTAGATCTACAAAGTTTACGGACAGAAAGGAACTTTAGAGGTCAAAATTTTGAAGATGGAATGTCCAAGGTGTATGGCCCCATGCAGTTGAAGAAAATGGAAATCAAAACTGTTGATAAAGACAAAGAATTATGAAGCTATAATAGAAGAATCAGCAATGAATATGGTAAATTTCTATAAAGAGTTATTTTATATTTGTTTAACAGTTACAAAGTATTTATATTACATATTCCTCATTAAACAGATATGGAAACTGAGGATTGGAGAAGTTATGTGATTTGTCTAAGGACATAGGGCTAATAACACCGTTACACCAGGCAGCCATTACAGAGAAAAAATTGCGAACCAGGAACAACAAAAGTACTGAAGAACACTGCTAATATCCCTCAAGATCCACTTTCCCCTTCTTCCAGTTATACCATTTTTAACTGAGCATACTGACCCCCCCAGAAAACAGACTACATTTCCCAGACTATCTTCCCCAGTTAGGTGTCACCAAATGACTAAGTTCCAGCTAATGAGATGGAAGCAAAAAAGTCCTTTAACAGTTGCCAGGAAATTTCCTTAAGAAATGCTGTCTTTTAGGCTGGCCGAGTGGCGCGTTGGTTAAGAGCCGCCTTGGGACACCAGCTCTGAGCATCAGGTCCCCGGTTTGGATCCCACATGAGGGTCAGTGACGCTGCGCCCTCTACAGCTGAGATGGTGAACAACAGCTCGACCTGGAGCTGGGCTGCTGTGAGTCGCAAGCATCGGCATAGGCTGCAGTGGGTTGCCATAAGCTACCGTGAGCGGCCGCAGCCAGCGTGAGCTGCCAAGAGCCGCCGTGAGCGGCCATCCGGTGGCCAGCAACCAATCTGCCTCAACTGGGAAAAGCGCAATGATAATACCAACATGGGCCGGTGAAGTGACGTCCTCTACAACTAGACTGAAGAACAAAAGGACAGCAACTTGTCTGTTCCCCTTCCCCGATTCCCCATCACTGTTCCCCTCCCCCAATTCCCCAATAAAATCTTAAAAAAAAAAAAAAAAGAAATGATGTCTTTTTTTCCCCCCCATCATTCCTTTAGCTATCCTACTCTATGGAAAAGGAATGCTGCCATCATGACCAAGAGGGAGAGACTACATCTTAGGGGTGAAAGCTAAGAAGCGTGGGTCTTTAAGGAGTTCTGGGACTAAAAACTACACAACTACCTTTTATGTGCAAGAGCAATAAACTTTTACGTTTTTAAAACCACTGTTATTTGAGGTTTTCTGTCACAGCTGAATCTAATTTAAAAATAAATGTATTTATACACACACACACACACACACACACACACATACACACAACATGGAAAGGGACAATATTACAAAGCTTGGAGGTGACTAAAATAGGGATGGAAGTGTCTTAAATGGACTTGCAAAGATGAATGATACCTGACTTTTGATGAAGGAATAATCCCATCCCAATGCATTACTATTGATTTGGGGTGAGTAGAGGAAAGATTAGCCTTCGCTAAAGACACTAGATTTCCACCACTGTAAGTGGATCAAATACTTTCAGAATGAAAGTAAGGTTGTTGGGCATCATGGAAGGAACCAGTGGAGGGGCAGAAGTGTTAGGTGATACAGGGGCAGATGAGGGTAAACGACAGAATTAAGGATTTTGTCAAGAACAGAGATAATGGAGGTAGAAGCTGAAAGGTACACAAAGGGGACACATAAATGACATTAAGGTTTTCACAAAGAACCAGACAGATCATATTAAAATAAGTCCCTTTGATTTTTAGGAAGTGTCTGTCTTAGAAGAACTGCTTTCGCATGATGATTTCTGCCCCACGACTAAGATGCAATTATAAATGTTAAATGCTCAAGGCTGCTACTTAGAGGTAATACAGGATTATGTACTGCTCTTTGTAAGACCAAAACAGAATTAAGGGAACTTGAGTTTTGGTTAGCCCGAAGCCAACCAATTTGTTCCAAAAAATCTCCCCATAACCAGAGATTTTGATACAGAAAAGGAAATAACCAAATTCTATTACCTTAGCAGGACCTTGTCAAGGGAAGCACTACTAAAGGAGAATGTGTTATCAGGAGAGTCCATTATATTTTGGAAGACTAGTTGTTAGGAGAATTGAATCAATGTGCAATCAAGCTACAGAAGAGGAAAAAAGAAGAAACTGTACTATGATTTGTTAAATTCACAACAAATGCAACACTGGATCAACAGTTCCTTGCAAATATCAAGCAATCAATTCTGAGGTTAGGCTAGATCTATGTGGCTAGGACCAGGGCTGGCTGGACAGCGCCTCCTCAGCATGCACAAAGGAGTCACAATGTGCTTGACAATGGCTTCTCTGTCAAGCACTCAGTCATCTACTTAAAAACTAGGCATCTACTTCCTTCATCAACAGCACTGAGCATTTACCAAATCTAACACTAAAAATTAATATTAAACGTGATTCAAAATGTAGTTAGAAAATGACCAATTTGTGTTTCTTGGCAAACTGAAACAAGCAAGCTCTCTTTCTTAAACCTGGTACGAAAATATTAAAGTATGAAATGATCAACACAAAAGAAGGCTGTAAACCTTGCAAATCCTTAAGATTTCAAAAGATCAAACATAGAAACATTTTACCAAAGTCCAATGCCTTTTCCCTGAGATGTTTCATAAAAAACAAACAAACAAACAAACAAACATGGTAAGGAGTAAGGCAAAGTTCTTGAAGAACTATAAATCAAGACATCTCAATTTAATTTACTGCAAATCTTGTAGGAATGCTGATAGGAATTAGGGGCAGATGGGCTCGGCTGATACTGCAGGATACTTGCATGCGGCAAAGATTCATAAATTGTCTCTTATTACCCCTGGCTCAGAATCTTCAAGTACTTTTGCATCTGACAAGAATTGCACATAATGAACTATATCAGAGCCTAATACAATTTGAAAGAATCATAGGATTGTTTTAGGGTTAAAATGTACCACTTTTACAAAAGCTTATAAGCACACTATTTAATGAGGGCTACCTTATGTTCAAAGAAAATGGCACATCTTATGCTTTCTTAACTCTGCCTACACAGTATTCATGCCTATTATATTTCCAATGTACTAGATATGACCATACGTCACAATTAAGAGTATATCCAACAACTGACCCTCTATTCTACTTTATTTAGACATTGATATATAAGGATAGAGAAGGGAGCTAGACTCCATACACACTCACCCTGTTAATGACACTCTCAAACCCCTCTTCACACATCCCCTTAATATCCTCACAGCACAGCTGTACTGCTGGTGAGAGAGAACATGAACAGGACTGGAGCTATACAGGGATAGCTGAGAGGCATCTGCCTGTTGGCAAAGCAGAACAAAATTTGCTACCATTGCAAGCAGTGGTCAAAAGTTGGAGCTACGAAAACTACACTAAACAATGAAAGGGAGAGGGGTTGGAGGTTATGAGTTAACATACCCGACACTCTGAATGCTGACAATGATGGACAACACTCAAAGAAAGGGAGGGGGAACATAAATCCCACAAACCTAGGTGCTACTCGTTCTTATTTGATCACTTCTCAAAAACGGAGAGTAGTCATGTGGGAGAAGCCATATTGATATGGTTATCTTGCTGCATTTTCAGAACCATCTGGAGCACTGCTTAATACAGAACGCTCTTCCTTTAAAATATAACCGATGAACTTCTCAATGATATTTTTCATTAGCCTAACCTGCTGTCCCTCATCCCAGCTGGAACTACAGACGCCCAGTCCCACATGTGAAGGTTAACGAACAGGAGAGGAGTTCCCGGCCTGACTGACTGGTAGTGCCGGTCCTGCCGCTAGCTTGCTGGCCTCCCACAAAGCAAGCCCCTTCCCTTTCCTGAGCCCCCCATTACCTTGCTTGCAGCAGGTGGAGTAGAGGCTACTAGATGATGTCTAATATCCCTTCCAGTCTAACAACCTGTGAATCTACAGTGGAACTGAACTTTGGGCCTCGTCATTCATTGGGCATTCAGCAAAATGCCAGAATAGAAAAGGAAAGGAAAGGAAAGGAAAGGAAAGGAAAGGAAAGGAAAGGAAAGGAAAGGAAAGAAATGAACGACAAACTTCAGAGACAACGCTACTCTCAAACTGACTCTGGGTAACTCTGAGAACAGCACTCTGAATCCCAAAAGCTTAAAAACAACGTAGTATGAAATACAGCTCCTAGTCGAATAACAGGTGAAAACTGACACCTCTGTAGCTCTGGAAAGATTCCTATCACTTGGAATGTCTGTTTTCGTGTTATTTCATTAAACCTCAGGTTGCTGTAAGTTATACAGAAACCACAGTTCCCTCGACTCAATTCGAGGCCTGACACTCCGGGGACCTCGCCAGCCTCGCCCGGACTTTTAGATTTCAGGGGACAAGCGAAGAAAAGGGAAACCGCCGTGGAGTTACTCGCAAGTGCCTGAATACTTCGGGAGAACTTGAGAGAGTGGTGGGCGAGATGGCCACGGAGCCTTGCTGTCCCCGTCTCCATCCTGGCCTGGGACACCGAGGGCCGCGGCGGCTCCGACCCAGCCCACTCCACCCTAGGGCGGCTGCCGGGCCGCGGCCACGGAAGTACCACCTGTGAAGGAGTCGGGATAGATGGACTCCAGAGCCTCCAGCTCGTTGCGCTGCTCCTCGCCGTAATCTGTCATCGTGGCCCTCGCTGCTGCCCATGGATCGCCCAGACACCCAGGCGGCGCGCTGTAGCCGGGACCGCTGCCGCGCCGGGAGAGCGGATAGGGGCCGGGCGGGCGCAGGCGCAGAGTCCTCGGCTGGGAGGCCCGGGGCCCAAAGCCAGGCCGGGCCTGCTGAGCAACAGCCTCGCGCCGGCCTCCGCTTGCTCCCTAGTTCCGCGTTTGACTGGTTGGGCCTGGCCAGCGGGACACTGGGTAGCCGCCTATCCCACGCCCGCTCGGAATTTGTGGGGATGGTGCCGGCGCTCGGTCTGGCATTCGTCACGGACACCTAGGGCCTGTTCCTGGGCTTTGCAGAGCCTGAGCCTGAGAAGCCCCTCAGCGCGGCATCCTCGATCGATATGTCGGGGCTGACAGACGGCCTCGCGTGCCGGGGCGGGACGGTGTTGCTGGGGAAGACACCCGGGGGGGCTTCCGCGGAATTTCGTCGTTTCCGGTTTCCGGCTTGCGACCCTATGGCCTGGTCCTCTTGGAGCCGACCGACGTGCACCTAATGGCTGCTGATGGTGGGGTCCGGGTGCCTTCTGCGCTTCTCCAACCTCCGAGGTCCTTGGCGTCCCACGGGAGTTGGGCGAGAGGCCGAGAGCAGTGTAGAGTCCAGTGAGCAGAGAGGAGCAGAAGCTCTGCTGGTGCGTCCCACGGGTCCCGAAATGTCGGCCCAGCTCCTGAATAGCCAGCCCAAGTGAATCCAGGGAGAAATTGCCTGGAAGTCCGGAGATCTGGGTTCTAGATTCAAACCTCTAGGCTTCTGAATTTGTAAAATGAACGCGGCTGGACATAGATTTAAAGGTGTCCGTGATTGCGTGTTTCTGTGAATTGATGTAGAGGAGTGTAGATTTCGGTAACAGTTTTCATAAGCAATGTGTAAGTATCAATACTCAAAACTGTTCAGAACCTTTGATTTGGGAGAATGAAGCTGAGGAATGTGCTTAAAATACATGTATACATCTGTCATCTCCAAGTTCATCGCATCAGTTACAAAGAAAAATTTCAAAGAACCACAATGGCAAAACCAAGCAAATGGCTAAATAAGCATGTCACTCTTATGACAATCTTAAAGAACTATTTATGTTTATAATAAAGGAACATGCTTATGTTAAGTCAAAAAAGAAGTGGGGAAATGTAAGAAAATAATCCAACATTAAAGGATTTTTCACACTTTTTTCTGTTTTCCTTTGTTTTGTTTCCTGTATTAAAACTGGTTTCCCTTGTGTGGCGGGGAAACAGTTTTTAAATAACAAGCTCCCTAATGATGAGGCTCTAAAGTTTTCTCTTTAATCATTCTAAAAGGATGATGTCCCATGGGACAGAGGCATCTTGATCTTTTATAGAGTATTGCTTATAGCAGAGAAATACATTAAAACATTCAGCTACACTTGGGTACTGATTCCATGTATTCTGTATTAAGGGTTTGGTTTGGGCATCCTTTTAACTTTCAGAAGAAAAAAAAACGGGAACTCGCCCGAAGATGGTGAGAATCAAAATACAGGAAGTAACTTTGCAAATGTAAAGTGCTTATTCTTCTGGATATCCTTAGTTCAGAGAAACTAATGATTTGTTGTTGGGGGAAGAGCTGGGCGGAGGGAACAGTCAGTGGAAAAGTTCCTAAGTTGAGCTCCCACTTGGCTAATGCACAACAAACTGGTTGGGGGTGGGGGTGGGTTGCAGATCACTTAGGATCATTGGAGGGTTTAAATGGAAGAGGGACAATCTGACTCCATTGCTTTAGGAAGACCACTGTTGCTACTGAGTGCAAATATACTTAAGGGGCACAAAGTCTGAAAGTATGGAGGGCAATTAGGAGGCTATGGCAGTAATCTAAGCAAAAGATGATGATGGACCAAACTGTCAGCGAAAGTGGGGAGGTAGTGATCAAATTCTGGATATATTTGGAAGGTAGAGCTGTCAGGATTTGATGTGGGTTGCAAGAGAGGTGTCAAAGATGATTTTTGGCTAGAAGAACTGGAAAGATGGTGTTCTTTTGACCTAAATGACAGGTGAGGAATATAGAATGAGTTTGGCAAGGAAATTGCTAACACCTTTAAAAAGGTTTGAATCAAAGAAAAAAAAAAGTTTAAAAAAATTTTCCTAACTGGCAATAACACAACCTATCAAGATAGATACAGCAAACCAACCAATTTAAGGTTTATATTAGAAAAAAGTCAATACTGATGTTTTAATCTAGTAAATGTAGTGCCCCTTTATCCTCTCTTATTAACAGGTTTTGGGAAACATCCTTTTCAAAACCCGTTGTATATTCGCTGTAAAGCATATTTCAGAATACATAAGAATGTTGTTTTCTTGTTTTTAAATACTGGAGATGATGACTCCCTAAAAGAGTCCAATGCTAATACAATCAAGAGAACACACCGAAAATCTTTGTCACACCTACATGGGCATCACTAAGCAATTTTTAGTTGATCTCTAATTTCATTTTGACAGCAACAGAGACATTTTACAGAACACGGGACATTCCAACCAGAGGTGACAACATCCTCTACAGCACTGTAACCCACGGGGTGCCGCAGTCCTTCGCTCAGTGCGCTGCATGGGTGGTAACCTAGAGTGAACACCCGTGCAGGCTGCGCGCCTCTGATCAAGCAGTCCGCTGGGGTGATGTGTCAACTATGTGCTCCGAGGCTTACAACGCTCCCTTCATATCGCTGTCCTTCCTCTCTGGCTTCTGACCGTGTGAAAACGCTGTGCTCTCTCCCAAGTTAGTCAAGCACATCCCCTGCAAGTGAATGGGATCACTGGTCTGGCTCCGCCCACACGGGCCTGGCCTCTCCGCCCAGCTGGTGGCGATGTGTGGGGAAGGCAGGGTGCAGCCAACATGGAAAGTTCGGAGAGCACCGGGAAGGGAAGAAACTGGCCCATGCGGACGGGTCCCCGAAAATTCCGAGAATGAGCTCAAAATGCAGAACAGCAGGCACTGACAGCCAGCATTACTGAATTGCTTACTAAATTTTATTCTAGCTCTGCCAGTAATTACTGGGATGTTTTTTGCTTTGGATCTATTAGATCACTATTGGAGTAAAGATGCTTATTTTGCAGTCAGTTTTCTCAAAGTCAGATTATCTCAAAGTGAAAGAATGGCAGACAGGCATAAATTTATCAAGAAAAAGCCAATTACTCGTGATTTATGAAATTTATATAATCAATTAAGCACCACATAGATCCAGATTAGTTTTTCCATATTGCATTTGTTTTCCCACATTTCCAATGGAATATGTCTACATTATAAAGTAGTTTATAGTACACATAGTTCTGTTGATGTCACTAACTGGCAACTACAGAAGAAAGATACATTGAGGTATTTTTTATTTGCAGTTTAGTTTGAAACATCTATGAAAACATGTAAAATATATATCCAACTGTTCTTCCTGCACTTTAGAGCACATTGTTTTATGTATATTTATAACATTATATTACAGATATATTTATTTTTTTTCAGGAGCAACGGTTTTGCCTTGGGTGGAGAATCAGTGCGTATAGAATCATAGAATGCTACCCTAGAAATTACCGTGAAGAGGTCTGAATCCAGAGGGTGTCAGTCACAACAGGCTTGTGGGTTCATAAACTCCTAAAATATATTGGTATGTGTATTAACTTACTATTGCCACTCTAACAAATTAATACAAATTTAGCAGCTTAAGACAATTTTATTATTGTAGAGTTCCGTAAGAACAGTATACATTTCTTACTGTTCTGACACAGGTGAGACACAAGTCTTAGTGGGTTATAGCTGAGGTGTCAGCAGGGCTGTGTTGCTTCTGGAGGCTCTAGGGGAGAACACATTTCCTGGATTTTTCCAGTGTCTAAAGGCTGCCTGCACTGGCTCCACCTTCAGAATCAACAATTATTAATTTCTCCGGCATCACTCTGACACTCCTTCACACTCCTCTTCTGTTGCCACTTTGCCTTCTTTCTGACTCAGATTCCTCCTCTGACCCTTTTATAAGGACGCTTCCATCGGACTCACCAGGATAGTCTCTCCATCTCAAGATCCTTAACTTGATCACATTTGTAGTGTCTCTTTTGCATATAAATTATAAAGTAACAGTCACTAATTCTGGGGATCAGGACATGAACGTCTTTGGGGAGTCCATAATTTAGCCTACCGCAGTATGCAAACTCTGAGGTATGTAAGCCTTTGCCTGAGTGTGTGGGCACAGTTTTTCTGGCTATTTCCTCAAAACAGCTTTCCTCAGAATGGCCCTTTAAAGGGATCCATGACTCAAAATTGTTTAATCACTCCTACAATTTTATCACCCTCCCCTCTCTCTTGTAAGGGAAAATTAAAGCCCCAGAGAGACTGACTTGTATAAGGCCATTTGAATGATGAGAGAGCATGATTTCCTGACTCTCATTTTGACTGTTCGTAACTATGGCCTATTGAAAAGAAATCAACAGATTATAGTGGCGTTCTGCCCCAACCTGAATAAGAAAGAGAATATCTGAGCTTCCTTGGCAACCTTATAGTAAGTCTGTGGCTAATAGAATCAGGCTACTGGATGTTGGATAGCTCAGGTCCAAAGTTACACCTCAGTGAGAGTGGACATGTCACTTTGCTAAGGAGCACAGTGCCTTGAAGTTGAGCCTTTATATATATATACTCAGATGTGATATGGCGTCTTATTGTTGGGACTCAGGATATTTTAGTTATTCATTGGCAGGAGTAGGAGGAGAGTCCTCCTAACACCTATAAGGCCCTGGAAGGTTTACAGTCTGCATCCTGTTGCTATATTGCCTCCAGTGCTGTGCAGTGCAGGGTCAGACACCAGACTACCAAGGCCTGAATTCTGGCATCAACACTTACAGATATGTGACCTTTGGAGAATGGCTTGACTTCTATGTATCTCAGTTACCTCCTCAATAAAATGGGGGAACTTATTTTATTGGGGTCAGATAGGCCTGTATTTCAATTGTGAACGTATATTCACCAGTTATCTAATAATTATATCAATGAGAAAGCATTCTATTTGTATAGGACTTGACACAAAATTCCTTCACATTCTGTATGTTATTTTAATGTAATTTCACAAATCTATTTTATAATATGTGGTTCTGCTTACCAGTTTGTTCTAAGGAGTAAGGGGGGGGTCACGTGTTTAAAGTAGCTGGCACACAATAAACAACATACATATTACTTTTACTACTATTATCACTATAGGTGGGTGCAGCCACCTGTCTGGACCACTGAGGGGCAGCAGAGGAAACAGTACCATTTCTTACTGAAGTTCTGGTGTACTGAGATTAAAATTGAATCGCACTTGGTGGTTAGTACAGAGAAAGGAGACAAAGAAGATGATGAGTATAACTATGATTCTGCAATTCAAAAACATAAAGAAAGCTCAGTAAAACATCTCTAAACACTGGGGTTGTATTGTCTCCTGGAAAGAAGGCAACTTAGATTGGTGGGGGGATAACGGAACTGACAAAGTTCAAGTTAAGAAATGAGAAGTCTGTATGTATGCCAAGCCACGGCATTTGATGTAGCAGTCAAAAGCTTTTGGTAGCAAAATATAAGGTAGTATTAGTACATAATTGATTTTAATTATATGTTTTAAAATTACATAAATCCATTAAGCATGAATAGGAGGAAGTACAGTGTTTTTAATGGAAAAGTTTTGTCTAACTGGCCGTGGAACAAAAGAATACTCTGGACAAAAAAAAAAAAAAGACTGGGAATTTAATTTATTTAATTTGAAATGGATATATGCAGTTAAATCTCAAGGATGTGTACCATCCTTTAAATGTTCACATACGCGGCATTAAACCCTTTAAAGCCACGTAAAGGAGCCAAAGAATACTTACAGTCCTTCTACCACAAAGCTACAGTGGAAGATCATGATTAAGTGGTTCAAACTATAAATTGTGTATTTTATATTCTGAAAGAATTTGATGTAGAAAGGGCTTCCTAATCTAGTGGAAAGAAAGTTTCCTGATGTTGGTATATAAACAACTCTTATCTTCTTTCCGATGATGTATTTTACTTTAACTTCATACACTCTTTGATTTTGCTGTTAACTGAAAATCTTACTGAAGAGTATTTATTGCAGTGTATTCCCTGAAAACTAATAAAATAATTCTGAGCATGCTGTAAAGTGTTGAGTTAACTCATGTGTCCCAATATAGAGGAATTTCAAAAATTCTCAGATAAATGGAGCTATAGAATTTTAGAGCTGGAGGAGATGGTAGAGAACAAAGTGGATGTGACCTTCTATATTTATATGGCTCTTGTATACCAGAGCCTAACAGGCACCCTAGTTACCTTCCATACTTACTTCTAGTTTTTAAAGATCCTTCTTGTAATATCATAGCAATACTGTATATAGAGTTAGGTGACAAAGTGTAATAAGTTTCCTTGGCCACTTATAAGTGTTTTATAAAACATCAGTAATTAACATCCTTTTAAAAGTGGAATACCTGAAAATGTCTTTAGAGAAAAATTTGAATCAAATTCAAGGATATTTTTCTTCCGGTAAGAGCAATCTGGGCCTACTACCATTCTGGAAGATTGTATACATGTAAACATAAAAATCTTATTAGATTTAGAAGGGACATCAAGAATTTATTTGTTCATTTTCCTGCCTTCTAGCAGGTAAGATCTCATTATCCCTATTTTACAGATGACAAAATTGAGTCCCAGAGAGATTAATTGACTTGCCCAATAAGTAAGGAGGGAGGAACAGTTCTCCTGCCCTAGCAAAGTATGACACTATCTGACTCTTATTGATTAAAAAAAAAGGGGTTTCCTTAAAATTAATTTTTTATTTGTCTCTATTAAGTTTGAGAGACCATAATTTCACACAAAATAGACTCTTTATTCCATGATTTGTGTAAAAGTAGATTACCAAGTAATTGATTGCATTTCAGATAGCTAAGTCCTCAGGTCTCCTCAAAAGTAAATCTTGAAAGCCAGCTTGACTATTGGCAGTTGGTCCATTGCCCAGTAAGCAGTTATTGTTTTGGTTTAAAAAATAAATAAAAGCCCTCGTTTTGTTTATTTTGCCCAATAAACCAGTTGTTTATGTGAATGTGTCAAAAATCAGGCCCAACCGGCCGAGTGGCGCAATGGTTAAGAACTCGCTTGGGATGCCAGAGGGCCCCGGTTCGGATCCCACATATGAGGGCCAGTGACACTGCCCTCTACAGCTAAGATGCTGAACAACAGCTCAACCTGGAGCTGGGCTGCTGTGAGTGGCTGACTGCGACGGCGTGGGCTGCAGTCCCTGTGGCAGTGGGTTGCCATGGGCTACCGTGTGTAGCCAGCAGCCAGCGTGAGCGGCCAGCAGCCGCAGTGAGCGGCCGTCCAGAAGCCGGACGACTGATCTGCCTCACCCGGGAAGAGCGCAATGATGGTGCCAACTTGGGCTAGTGAAGCAACATCCTCCACAACTAGACTGAAGAACAAAAATGACAGCAACTTGTCTGTCCCCCTTCCCCCAATTCCCCAGCACTGTTCCCATCCCCCCAATTCACCAATAAAAATCTTTTAAAAAAAAAATCAGGCCCAAGATACTACATATATATCAGAAACAATCAAGATAACTTAGAAAACTGTCAAATATTAGATGAGCAAAGTCACACAGAAAAAAGTCAGGAAGCTCCCACCTTTTGGGGTTCTAGATAATGGCTGTGCAAATACAGGTTGTAGTCTTACTTCCCCAAGTGGATTTTGAGTTAAAGGTGCAATTTGATATTAAAAAGTCACAGATGGTATCTCTGTAGTGGAGCACAGTGGGGAAGGATTCTGGAAGGAACTTTATATGCCATAGCTATAAAGATGCCCCTAGTATGGGGATGCTACAAATAACATTTATTACACTAATGATGATACCATAATGCATCATCTTTCCCTGGTTATGGCAGGATGACTCAAGACTTTCTTGCACGGACTTCTCCCTTACATGTCACCAGGCTTTTTATCCTGGTTTCTAAGAGGTCAGAGAAGTAAGCTTGGAGAAAGAGGAGGAAGCAGTGAAAAGTTTCTGGATATTATATATAGGTTAAAAAAAAGAAAAGAAAATCTCAAATTAGAGACAGAGAAAATGTGATATAAGACATGGGCTGCAAAGATGAAGGGAGAAAGTAACATTTATTAGCACTTATTTTATGAAAGGCATTGTGCTGAGCACTTTGCTTACATCATCACATTTAATCCTCACAACAGCTCTACTAGGTAGCTAATATGTGCAGATAACAACAGGGCACTCAAAGTATTAATTTTTGCACAGCCACTAAGTCAAAGAACCAAGATTCAAATTTTGATATGACTCCAAATTCCATTGTTTTGATTAGACCAATATTATTAGACCACCAATGAAATATCAAAAAGAGAGATTCACACAATTATCAGACAAATTGATTTTGGAAATACCATTTTGGATGGACTTACATAAACAAGTATTAGAAAAAGATGAAGAGATTACATTGAAATTTCATCATAAAAATAAAGTATCTGCTAAGCAACCTGAACTGTGAAAGGTGCTACTCAAGGCTTTAATTCAATACCTTCTGATTTGCTTTCCTCTTTATCCTCATCCACCCTGTCCCCAAGGAAGCTATAGTGACCTTGCACGTCATCACCCATGCAGAGAAGACAGGGTGCTGAAATATCTTTCCAGTCCTGACATGAAGGAATATGAATGTGTTTGACATCTTCATTTCCAGGAAGGAAGCCAAATAACTTCTTTATGCGCTGCATGACGAGAAGGCGTGAGTGCTGCTCTGCAGCTTGTTCAAAGATCTCGCTCTCATTGTGGTGGTAGTTGGTCCAGTAGCAATGCTGCAGAGTCGTGAGGGGAGAGCAGCACCTGGCCAAACAGCGGGAGACCAGAGCAGCGATGGTTGCCAAGGTGATCAAAATCCAGGCCAGCATCTTCACATAATTATTTAAAAGAAAAACAAAACGTCAATACATCAAGAAACAGCCATGGTAGGAGGGATTCCTACAAAACTGAGAACTGAACTGTGGGTAAGATATTTGCTTTTCTAGTTTTTAACAAATTAATAAGGTGCTGATCATTTAGCATGGATATAAGTGCGATGGAGAGTATAGGCCCATCATGGATGGGGTGGAGGCTTGAGAGTATAGGCCCAATCATTAAACTTGGGTTTTGGATTACAAAGAATTTTTACCAGTCAAGTTGGAATGGATTCTAAGTACTATCCTTGAAGTGGCAGACGCTATAACCCACCAATTACCCTTGCATAAGGTACACAAACTATGTCCTTTGCTTTTAGCTCAACCTTTTCAACCATCAGGTAGAGGCCCATGCATTCTCTGGGGGCTTAATAAATATTTCATAATGATGGTGATGAAAATGATGATATGATAGATAATAATGGCAGCCTTCTAAGGCATCTTCAATGATGTGCCAACAAGTATTCATTGATATTTCTTCCTGAGTTGCTCTTTTATTTTTGGTGACCAAAGAAGAAAGTCTATGAGCAGATTCTTATGTCCCTAAATGTATAGAACCTTACTGTTTTTCCTTTCATTTCCCTCCTCCTTCAAATAGTCATTTGCTGACTGGTTTTATGACTTGTTTTAAAATATACTTTGAAAGGAAAATGAACTAGATTTTATTTACAACTATTTAGTTTCCACCATTAAAGACTGATACGAATGGCTGTTTTCTATCCTTATAATTCTTTTTTTCTTTTAATTATTCTTTTTATAAATATTTAGCAGTTCTTATATAAAGTGAGAGACACAAGTTCCACACATTTAGGGAAGCCAGCAGTAGGTAGCCACAGACTGGGAGGTGAAGGTCTCTTCCACAGTTTGTGATTTACAAACAGGCCTGCAATTATCAGTGTTACACAGCAGGATAGCTGCACTCTGTGGAGGCTAAAACCTACACAGTGATGCTCATCACAAACTTAATAGAAGCCAGCATGGTGGAGGAAAGGTCATCTCAGATGCCCATTAATTCATCAACTATCATTTATTGAGCCTTAGGTTGACTTCCCACCATGCATGGCGTTTGGTTATGGTGACTCAGATGTGAATAATTTAAGATACATTTATTCTTTTCAGAGTTTTTAAGCTCAAAGAGAAAGACAAAATAAAAAGCCAAGAAATACAGTAAAATATGATAGTTTTTGATGTGAATTAACACAGGGTGTGAGGAAGCACAATGGAAGAGAAATGAACTTGTTTAAAAGAGGAGTATCAGGGAATGCACCCCAGAGGAGGTGATGCTCAGACTTAAATTATTACAGAGGAGTTCACCAGATCTGAGAAGGTGAGGCAAGTTCGAATAAGGGAAGAAGACAGAAAAATAAGAGTGTGACGAGCTGGGAAAACCTCCAGAAGTTTGGATTCACAGGGTCATAGGAGTCATGTGGAAAATGAGTAAAGGGCCAGATATTGAAGAACCTAGTATGTCATGCTAATAATTTGAATTTGTACTTGGGCTAGAAGGAAATCATTGAAGGATGTTATATGAGCATGTTGGGGAGGCTCACCACAATTTGCATTTAGACAGATAATGTTGGCCTGGGTTTAGAAGGTAAGTTGAAATGGAGTAAAACTAAAGTCAGGAAGATATTTTAGAATGAAGTATGGGTAGAGAAGGGGTTTAAACTTAATATGGTCTGTGGTGAACCCAGCATAATTCAACTGAAAGCATATATTCCTCACTTGAGACTGACATTCAAGGTAGTTGCAGAAGTGGCCTGGTGACGGGGAAACAGCATGATCTTTGAATATCTCTGTCAGCTGTTAGCTCTATGAACTTATGAAAGTTCCATAAACTCTCTGAGTTTTGGTTTCTTCATCTATAAGATAGGGTTGATTATACCTGTCTCTTAAGATTATGTGGATTAGAGTGAAGATATAAAATATTTATACAGTATGTGATGAGCATCTCAATAAATATTAGTTTTGTTGTTACTAAATCAGAAAATTCACTGGCTGAGGGCACTCAGAGCTATAAAACTGTCTTTTCACAGAAGCCTGTGTATCATTAAATAAGACATTTTATTTTGACCATAAGAACATCTTATCATTGTGTATTACCTCTTAGTTTTTCTTAAGCAAGAACATTTTTGAAAGTTAAAATTGCCCCATTGATTGCTTGACTTTTTAATTATATCCCCATAGCTCCTTTGCCTGAGCTTTAGGGCTAGTATAAAAAGGTTGAGACAAAGCCTATCTTAATGGCATTTCCAATTTTGCCTCAACTAGGCCATCAGTATTCTGTGCATTGATAGTAGTTTTTTTCAACTAAATGTCATTAGCACTTCTAAATTTTAGTAACTGAAAAGTAATAGGGCAAAAAAAATGCCTTTGCAATCAGTTTAAAAAATAATATTTCACTGTATTACAGTGATTTGAAAATGTTTTTCCCCAAATCCCTTGGAGAAATGGATGTAAACCAATGACTCTATCTTTACTGAAAAAATGCACTTTTACATTTTTTATATTTAACCTATAAGTGCATTAGGTTCAGGCCTTCCTGCCACTTCACCCCACCCCTCACACAAACCTGTCTAAGGACACTAAATTTAAAACCATCATTGAAGTTTATTTTTAATTATCTTAAGCTTCCTGTAATATTGGATGATATAATATATAAGGATGCATATTTTTTAAAATGCATATTTAGAATATATACGTAGCATGATTAAATTTAGTAATATAGTAATAATTTTAATAACAGTATCTAAAATGCATTGTTTTTATAGATACAGATCCTGGACAGAGTACTAAGCACTTTAGATATATTTGCTCATTTATGCCTCGTGCCAACCCTATGTGGTATATCCTATAAATATCCCCATTTTACAGTTCAGAAGTAAAGCATCGAAAAGTTATAGACCTGTAACTCACTTAAAGTTTTGCAGGTTAATAAATGGCAAAGCAGTGGGTTGCCATGGGCTACCGTGAGCGGCCAGCAGCCAGCGTGAGCGGCCAGCAGCCGCAGTGAGTGGCCGTCCAGAAGCCGGCAACTGATCTGCCTCGCCAGAGAAGAGCGCAATGATGGTGCCAACTTGGGCCAGTGAAGCAACGTCCTCCACAACTGGACTGAAGAACAAAACGACAGCAACTTGTCTGTTCCCCTTCCCCCAATTCCCCATCACTGTTCCCATCCCAATTCCCTAATAAAAATCTTTATAAATAAATAAATAAATAAATAAAAGGCAAAGTTAGCCTGAAACCCAGGTCTACAGGCTTGGAAGCCCAGCATCTTAATTGTATTTATATAGCCACTCAGTAGAAATCATTTTGATAAATGGCATCTAGTTTGTGTTCTATAATTGGACAATCTGAGAAGCAGCAGGAATGTAAATTGTTTCCAGTGACTGTAGTTAATATGGGATAGGATAACAGAAAAAAAAAATCAAGAACTTACTTGTGACTGGTATCTGTGCCCAAGAACTACTTCGTCTCTTACGAGGATCACATCAGTTGGAGTTGATTTGCTACATGGAAACCCAGCTATTATCTCTTCCCGTTTGCTGGCACTGACATTGTCAAACACTGGGTAATGGTCCACAGATGCAAATTCACTTGCTGCACATTCGTAGTAGGTGCCTGTCAGCAGGGTTGTCGCCAGCCACGTCAATGGAGCAACAAGTGCCCTCCCTGTGATGCTGAAGAACCTAAGGCAAGCCAGCTTGCGCTCCAGGGGGCTGATTCTCCGGTGTGGAGGGGCACACCTGCAGCAGTATTCACTGGTAATTGTCCACGTTTGGCTTCTCAGAGCATAGCCAGCAACCAGAAGGATCAAGGCAGGAATGACTAGAAAAGCAGAACCATAATAGAAGTTTTTCCCAACCTGACAGGGGCATCTGAACGTGAAAGAGGAGAACAGTTGTTGCCCACCAATAGTCAAAGCAGCAATTAAAGAATTGATAAATGTTCCACTTCTCTGCAGAGAAGATACCATCCTGTTGAGGGTTGGGCCCATTGTGGTGAAGCTCCTACACAAATCAGCTGGTAACCCTTTCTGATCATTAGACTCCTTCAGGTATAACCATTTTATGAGACCTTACTGGCTTAACTGGTTGTGTCAGTCAACCCATCCTTACATGTTTAAACATCCTTACATGTTTAAAGGATTCTAGCATCTTTCCTTGTGTACCTTGGGAATCCTGAGCTAATAAATGCGCTTCAGATTACAGCTAGAAGAAATTGAAGGAGAGATTCATCTGGTATGAGTGATGGGGAAAACTTCAGTGTACCTTCCCACTAAAAAGAGGATGGCTTGCTTGCAAAGCACATAGCTGCCATCTTCCCATGTGCTGCTTAGTGTGACTCAAAATGTTCAGCACCAGCAAATAAAACTTTGGAAGCAAACCAGAGAACATTCTTATTCTTACCTTTGTACTAGTCCAGGATTTGATTACTATAAAATTATGGCATAAAAAATAATGCAAATTATCAAAAACTAGAGTGATCCAAAATTGAAGGTTATCTGGAGTGTTCACAACCCAAGAACTCTGGCAGGAGATCCCAAAAGCTTCCCCGCAAAAGATGAACAAGTCTTGGGTACCCCTGAAGTTGAATCACAACAAAAGCATTCTAACTTTGCATTAAAAAAATCTTTGTATTGACAGAATCTAATATAATAATGTGTTGCTTTATAAGTTAAGTTGCAATTTTGTTTATATGATATCTTTTTGTTATATGAATATGTGATATTTAGGTATTAAAATTATATCAATAAAGAAGAAATAAAAAGATCAAATTTTTTGTGGCACTTCTATAATAAAAGGCACTGGATTAGGCTTGGCTGGGCTTATAAAAAGTGAATAAGATATAAATTTCTTGTTTCAAATAACCTCTCCATTGGACATGGTTCAATACATAATTAATTGACACATAATGCTGAGGAAGTCATCCAAAGTGCAGGACAAAAAGAGAAAGAAATAAAATATTTAACAAACCAATTAAAGAAAATAGGAGAAAAATTAAGCAACTCCATGATCACCTAACAGAAGTTCCAGAAGAAAAAATGAAGGAATAGGCAGAGAAGCAATATTTGAAGAGAAGTAACTGAGAATTTTGCAGAATCAAAGACAGGTCTTACATCCAAAGAGTGTTAGATGTTATAAGCAGCATAGATTAAGATAAATCCACATATAGATACATCATAATAAAACTGCAGAGCGTGAAAAATAAAGATATTCTTAAAAGCTACCAGAGAGAAGAGATACATAACCTACAAAAGAAAGAAAATAGACAGACAGGAGACTTCTCATCAGTAACAGTAGAGGCTTGAAGACAGTATCTTCAGAGTGCTTAGTACCAGTTAAACTATCACTCAAGAGAGAACAAAATGAAGATACATTAGACTAAAGGAATTTACTACCCACAAAACCTCATTAAGAGGATTATTAAAGAATGTATTTCAGTATGGAGAAAAATGAACTCTGAGGGAAGACATGGAAGTTAAAAATAATTATGAGGGCCGGCTGAGTGGCACGTTGGTTAAGAGCTGGCTTGGAACACCAGCTCTGAGCAGCAGGGACCCGTACAGATCCCACATGAGGGCCAGTGACGCTGAACCCTCTACAGCTAAGATGGTGAACAACAGCTCGACCTGGAGCTGGGCTGCCATGAGTCGCCGGAGATGGCGTAGGCTGCAGCCCCTGCTACAGGGCTGCCATAAGCTACCGTATGTGGCTGGCAGACAGCGTGAGCAGCCAGCAGTCGGCGTGAGCTTCCATGAGCCGCCATAAGCGGCTGTCTAATGGCTGGTGACTGATCCACCTCAGCCAGGAAGAGCACAATGATCACAATACCATCTTGGACCAGTGAAGCAATGTCCTCCACAACTAGACTGAAGAACAAAAGGACAGCAACTTGTCTGTTCCCCTTCCTGATTCCCCAGTGCTATTCTCCTCCCCAATTCCCCAATAAAATCTTTTTAAAAAATAATGGTGACTACGAATATGATTTTTTTAAAGACTTTCCTTTATTTATTAGCTGTGGAAATAACTACTTTTTAATTTAAAAGATACAATTAAGGCAATACATGGTTATAATAAGATATCACTACTAAAATGGCTAAAATTAAAAAGACCATCCCATATGTTGGTGAGGATTGTGGAGTAACTGGAACTCTCACACACTGATGGTGGGAATGGAAAATGGAACAACCACTTTGGAAAACTGTCAGTTTCTTTAAAAGTTAACTATATGTCCACCACATAATACCTTCATTTATCTCCTAGGTATTTACTCAAGGGAAATGAAAGCACATGTCCAAATGAAAACTTGTCCATGGATGTCCATCACAGTTTTATTTATAATAGCTGCAAAATGGAAACAACACAGATGTCCACTAACAGGTGAGTAGATCAACAAATTGCTATATATCCATATATATCCATATAATGGAATGATAATCAGCAAGACAAAAGGAATAAACTATTGATACATACAATAAGAAGAATAAATTCAAAATAATTTCTTGAATCAAAGAATTTAAGCAAAAGAGTACACAGTGTGTGACTATATAGAATTCTTTAAAAATGTAAATTAATCTACACTGACAGATAATAGACCAGTGCTCGCCTATGGAATGGGGGTGGAGAAATGAGACGAGAGAGGGACCAAGGGGCATAAGAAAACTTTTGGGCGTTGTATCAATTTGTACCAGCAGGATTTTATTTTGTGGAGGTGATTCAGTGATGACACAGAAAGGGCAATACTATTGAAAGAAGAATTTATTACTTACATTTACCCAGAGAAGGGGGCATGCCAGGCCACATAGGGCCACATGCAGATGCAGCAGGTTTGGTCAGGAGGCAGAAAGGCAGAGGGGAAAAGCCTAGGCCAGAGCTTTCACTGGTGTTTCTGTGGAAAAGGCAAGACAAGGCAGAAAACCAGCTTAGGACTGGCTAGTTTAAACAATTCCGGCAGGCTTCGGAGCATAGGGGCTGATACTACTTTTCTGGTAACGAGGCCTGGGTTCTAGAGCAGGGAAGTATTGGCTTGGTGTGTGAGAGGTAAGAAGGGGCTCAGAGCAGGGGCTGTGGATCGCACGGGAGAAGTAAACTACTTTGGCTGTTAGTGTGGATGCCTGTTACTAATGGATGCCATGTAGGCAAAGAATCCAAGATAACACAGTTGAAGCAGATGGAAATGTTAATTTCATTGATCGAGTTGATGACTTCAGGGGTGTATACATATGCAAAACTTATCAAATTGTAAATCAATTATCTGTCAATAAAACAGTAAAATGTTTAGGTATAATTATTAAATAATAGAAATACAGTGCATAGATTATCCAAAAAAACAGAGGGAATAAGAAAGAAATATTGACAGGAAAAGAGATACTAAAGGGGAAAGGACAGTAAAAAGAAAACACAAAAGAATGGTAGAAATGAGACTGAACACATCAATAATCACACACAAAATTTTTGAACAGCTAACAATTACTGAGCGCTTACTCCATGTCACGCACTATTTTAAGAGCTTTATCTTAGTTCTCACAATAACCCTACAATGAGGTACTAATGTTATCCTAAGCTATTTTACAGATGAGAAAACTGAGGTGTGGAGAGATTAAGGGAGTTGCACATGGTCACACAGAGACGGGTGGAAGAGCCAGGATTAAGACCCAAGTGGCCTGGAACGTGGTCTAACCACCACACCAGAGCTGGAGTAAACTCACCTACACAGTTATTAAAAAACAGACCCATGCTACTTACAATCGACACACCTAAAAGTAGACCACACAAAGCTTGGAAAATAAAGGTATTGAAATGTATATCACTGGGAATAATATTAATACAAGGAAAACTGAACTAAAGGCAAAAATTGTCAAAAAAGCGATTTTGAACACTGTCATAAGAAGAAGAACAATCCATTATGAAATATGACAATCATCAACTTGTATATCTGTGACTGCATAACTTTGAAATATATAAAGTAAAACCTGGTAAAATTATAAGGAGAAATTCTTATATTCATAGAACAAAGGTTTTTACATGTCTTTATCAGAAATGATTGATCAAGTAAACATTAGGAAGGATGTAAAAGATGGGGAGAACAAAGTTAGAAAGCTTTGTCTAAGATACATATAGTATCCCATATCCTAAAAATAGAGAATGAACATTTATATAAGTTCCCAATAAATCATTTGCCAACACGTATTGATCACGTACAAGATCACAAGAAAAATTTCAGCATTAATGTCCAATAATAAAGAAACAGATTTAAAAACCATGGTAATAGAATAAGGGTTGGCAATCTATGGTTCAGAGACCAAACTGACTTAATGCCTGTTTTATATGACTTTTGACCAAAAACTAGGTTTTACATATTATTAAAATGATTGGAAATTTAAAAAATATTTGTGACATGAAAATTACATGAAATTTAAATCTCAGTGTTTATAAATATGTATTGGTGTGATATATAGATGATGTATTATTGAATTATATACTTGAAACCTATGTAATTTTACTAACCATTGTCACCTCAATAAATTTATTTAATAAATTTTTATTTATTTATTTATTTATTTATTTATTTACTTATTTGTTTATTTACTTACTTATTGGCAAATATCCATCCCTGTTCCTGAGATGTCTACGGCTGCTTGCTTTCCCACCAGAGCAGCAGAGTTGAGTAGCTGTGACAGTCTGTATGGCCGTAAATCCTAAAATATTGACTATTCAAGCCCTCTACAGAAAAAGTTTGCTGACCTCAGCTAGAGTTGTGAAATTAAATTAACTACAGTGACAGCTATGGATATGTATAAATCTTAACAAATAACTTTGAAGGAAAAATGCAAGTTGTAGTTTACATGCCATATGATACCTTATTAAAGATTTTAAAATAAAATAATATTACATACCCTTTATGGTTACTAACATGCAGAATTTTAAAACATGCGTAGGAATGATAAATATCAAAATCTGGGCAGGAGGCCATGGAGGAGGGAAGAATAGGATTAAGGAGGGTACAGGGTATTTCAGCTATATCAGGCAGCTGTTGAAAGATTTACTGACTTCATGTGCAGTAAAGTACCAATGTGTAGCTTATCAATGACTGTGAATGATTACACCTATGAGTAATCCATTTTCTGTTGAGATTTGTAGCCAAATGGTCTCCTTGTCAAAGATAGCTTGTTGTTGCCTGTCTCTCCAACATATAAAATGCCTGCTCCTCAAGAGGGACCCACCAGCTCACTCACTGAGTACATGCTGAGGGGAGATCAGGTCTGACAGCTAGACCTGTTCTCGGGGGAGTGGGGGTGCCAAGCAAATCAACACATTTTATGTAAAATCGAGTTAAAATAAACACCAAAAGCAGCCTTAAATAGAAAAAGAGGTTGCAAAAAGATAACACATTCCTGGACAGAGGTTACGATACCCAAAAGTGGCTTTGCCTTGTCTGGAGAGTTTGTGGATGATCTCAGATGGCGATCATTTGGCTGACGGGGTAGTAGATACCCTCCTCTTTTAGCATCTCCCCAAGTCTCTACTCAGTGGCCCAGGTACTTCCCAAAGGACCAGTATAAGGCAGTGGCCCAGTTCACCATTTACTTGGGTTGATTTGACACTGCAGTGCAGATACGATGAGATTAAAGAATGCATCATATTTCCAACACCAGTTCCGAATTCAGTCCTAGGCCACCAAACAAACTCTTCATAAAAGAGGAAAAACTTTTCTTCTGCATTATTTTTAAATGACTCTTTCCTCTAGTTTGCTACCAGGGCAGACAACGTAGGTCATTTACGTGTTTCAAACAACCTCTGTGCTTTCTTCCATTTAAGTGAAGGGTGGTTTTACATACAAAGAAGGAGCCTGGGGAACACAAGCCTCACTTGGATCTTAAGAGCTGCTGAAGGAAACTGAATGTTACCGTCTGAAAACCAGCAAACCAGTGTCCCAGGGCCAGTGCCTACAGCTGAGACTGTGCTCTCCTACGACAGCACCAGGCAGGGACTCCTTCCTTAAGCCTTATGCTCCTGGCTGCAGGGTTGGCGAGAGGGGGAGACCCATCAGTCTGGAGGAAGGGCTGGCTATTTCTAATGTACCCATGATGTCCTGAATTCTCCTGGTGGCCCTCATGTCACCATACCACAGCCATTAGAGTTCAGTAAAACTGATTCCTGTCCCATCTCCCCCCTCCCATCAAGTACACAGGCCTTTTCTATGTTTTTCTCAGGGACCTCGCATCCAGAGCCCAGAATTGTCCCAAACTGGGCCTAGCAACATGCTGTCAGCATAGCTTAGCAGCTTTTGTGGATCTACCTGTGAAGTATTTTACTGTAACATATTACAGGGTGTACAGAAAAAAAAAATTATTTATTTGGAGTCAGCAAATTTAGCCTAAATCCCCCTTTCTTGCCTACTATCCAGCTAACCCTGAACAAGTTTCTTAACTTTTCTGACTTTTAGATTCCTAGCCTATAACATGGTAACGATGATGACACTGACTCCTTCACAGATTGTAGTCGAATTAAAATGACTTAAAGAAAATGGAAACCATGTCGTAAACTGTAAAGTTTATGTAAATATAAGGTGCTATTAATTTGCTACAGAAAAATCCCCCATCCTCTACAACCCAGAAAAACTGATTTTCCCGAGAATGGTGTCATAGAACATAGGCATTGATGGAAATATCTTAAATATTGTAGAATTCCATTCAACTACAAGAATAATCTATAGTAATTAGTGTTTATATAGTGCATTCTAATGTGGTTTATAGCGCACATTTTCTCTTTGATACTCACAATTATTCAGTGAGGTGGGTATTATTATTGCCCTTTCACAGATGTGGAAACTGAGCCAGAGAGCAGTAAACTGGCTTGCCTAAGTCACACAGCCAGTAAATGGGAGCACTGCAGCTTAGCCTGGGCCTCCCAGATCTTTCAACTCCTAGGCTCTTTCAACTACACCACACTCTTCTTCAAAGTCATCAGTAGCCTGTCACTTTATAGCAGGAATTTTCCAGAACGCATAGGCCTACTTGACTCAAGCTGTGAGAAGTAGGACACTACTTTCTTAAATTGAGTTTTCTGCTTCTATTTCTGAAAATATTTTGATCCTCCACACCCTGCAGTTGTCAAGATGAGAGGGTTTCTTGTTTTAACTTTAAACATCTATACTTCTGCATAAATAATAGAGCTTTCAATCGCTAACATCGCAGGTAGGTACTATCAAAAGAAAGCTAAGGGCTCGCTTTCTCTGCCAGAATCATTATATATTATTAAACTCTAGAACACCCATTATGAGCAACAGTTTTATAAGAAAATATCAACACCCAAATTCTATTACTCCTTCAAATTGCTGTTTTTGAAAAATAAGCTACCAGGTTAATTTGAATTTTGTAATCACACAAGATAGGGGTCTGCAATGCCCATTATTTGGGGGGTAATGTGATACCGTTGGAGTTGTGGATTAAGTCTGAACCAAAATTCAGTGTCTATAGATTACTGGTCCTGTCTTGAATTCACACAACAATCAATACAAAGACTGAATAATGCCAACAATTAGATCTATCTTGGATTGTAAAGGTTTCTGTTTGTGATTTTAAAACAATGCCTTGGCATGAGAGCAAAACACCACTCTCATACTCCCTTGGGCTAAAGAATTTTCAGTAGCTGGTGCTTCTGGTCTGATTTCCCACTCTCAGCTTTTATGCCTGTAGATTACAACTCATCCTCCCGGGCAGTATTTAGTTGATGGGTGGCTGGGACGTGGCTATAGCACAGTCCTGTCTATGATTGCTCTCCGTCAGTTCCGCAAAGAGCAAATGCAGCAGAGTGAAAAAGTAGCACTTGTGTCTCAAAGCAAAGAGGAACTTGCACAAGCAAAACAAAGCCAAAGAAAAGAAATCGAAGATCACATTCTTCATCTCAAGCGCTATGTCTCGCCCTGCACACAGAAGACCAGAATATCATAAAATAGTAAGATCTTTTATTATAAACCTATTCTCAAAGATATTTGGTTCTATGTCAGAGAAAAATGTTTTCTTAAGTGATGTCTGATTTATTTCGAAAGGGGACGTTTTAAGTAGAGTTTTTCAGTGGAGCAAGGGAGTGTTTAGTGGAATGAATCATAAATGACACCTCTGGGAATAATTACAATGATCTCTTACATACTGTAATAGAATAATCAATTCTTTATACATATTTCAGGGTCTTCTTTTCTGACTAGCTAGATCTACAAAAGTGTCTGACAGAAAATATGAAAAGATTAAACAATTCTTTGTATTTCAGACTTCCAATTTGTTGTATTTCATACTTCATGAAATAGGAAATAAAATGTATAGAAAATAGTTGACTATATAGTAAATTAAATAGCAATAGGTCATCACAAACTCGGTACTAAAAGATTGCCTTTAAAACTATATTTCCTAGTCTTAAATATAAGTGGTTATTATTGTAATTTGGTATGTGCTATTATCTTTTCTACATATTCCAAGTTTAGAGTTATTTTTAAAACTTAATTATTTGCAGATTAGATATGGATATTCTTCTTTAATCTTAATCCTTTTATTATAGTTTTAGGCATTCAGAAGTTACAGATGTAAAAACGTATTATTAAGTTTAAAGCTCTGTTAATTATTTCAGGAAACTGATGGGCATTGCATAAAATTAAGTAACTTCAGCCATGGATACTTAAAATTGTATGACTAACCCACGCACACCCAGTCGGAAATACCTGCAGATGCCCACTCTGGCATTCTGGGATCTTGATTTGTTTTTGTGTGGGGCTCTCAAATGCTAAAAAGTATTGTACATAGTTCATATTATACCTAAATCAGTTGACAAAAATATATTTTCATCCTAAGATATCCCAAAACTCCTGAAATAATTAATGGTACTTTATTTTGCATATATGGAAATATTTGTTTTAAAAACTGATAAAGTTATGCTGACCTTTTTTGTGATCAGAAAATGTCATTATTTCAGCTTGGCCTTAATTATAAATGGGCACAATGCGGAGGCTGGCATGTAGGGAGTGTATAATTTTCTCTCCTTTTCAAATTCTTTTGTTTTACTGCTAGTGACAAAACCATGTTATCATTCCCTTTCTGTCTTTCTTTCTTTTTCACCTTTGCTTATGTTTATGCTGTAGTATTGACACATGGCAGTAATTTATCTTTGGCTGTGGTTCCTTGTATGTTAGGCAGATATTTCATGTAAAATTTACAGGTATTTCTTGTGAGTTATGATTAGGTTTTTGGAAAATTTAAATAAGAACAGAATTAAAACTGAATACATGATGACACTTTCGTAATTTAACAATATTTTTGTTCAAATCACTTATTTTACATCCTTTGTTTTCTAGTAGAAATATTAATGTACTTTTTATTTTTTATACCTGAATTGTATATATTAGTGCCCTTAATGTGATATCAATTAATGTATATAATGTATATTCTACATACATTTATGACATTTTGATTTATATTTTTCAACATAAACTATGTCCATATGTGCTGTATAATATTTAAATTCCAACCATTTAAAACTTATTTAGTGATAATAAATATCCTACTTCATAAAAACACAATTTGTCATGATGTAAACCCATACAAAAGGGAGTGCACACTGGTGGTATTGGGCCAATTTTGGAAGTATTTGGATCAAAATTATATAACATTTTATAGAAGCCACTTTGTTGAATAAACAATTTTATTGGTTTGTTGAGCCATTTCTTCCCATGATTAAAAGAAGGAATTGAATACATATTATCATACCTTATCGTCCCCTCCATGGTAGGCTATCGAAGATACCTGGGCCTACAAGTAAGGGTACCTCTTCTAACATGGAGCCTACATTTGACCTTTCATGAAAATACGAGATTGTGCACAGAATAAGATTATTTTCAACAGTGGTACTCCTTCCCACCTCCCTCTCTCACCCACCTCTACTCCAAACAGTGGCTTCTTTTGTGTACCTCAGAGGTAACAGCTATGTCAGAGTGGGGCCTGCAGTCTCAGACTCCATCTTGGCCCTGCCAATTGCTGGCTAGTTGGACCAGTCACTCAGTTCTCCTGAGGCCTCCTTCCCTACTCTGTAGAACTGAGAGCATTGGAATAAATTCTCTCTAACATCCCCTTTCCTTTCTTAAGTAGTATTCAGTAGTAGTCACAAAACAGAGAGACTTTTAAAAATGGTTTGATTGAGCTTTGTGTTTTCTCTTTCCCATATTTTCAACCTATCTATGCTAAACCAAACCTAAATTATCCTCAGTTTTGAAATTCACTCTGAAAATAAGACATATTTTCGGAGATCTATAAGGAGAGTGAAAAATCTTTTTTCTCTAAGTATAAAGAAAAAAAGCATAAGTTTGCTGCTACAGTTGGGCTTATCCTGATGGTCTTCTTGGCAGACCTGGAACCCATTAGGGATTGTGCAGACTCATAAGAAGTCTCCCCCAGTTATTCCTTCCAACCGAAAACATGGGCAGCCATACCAAAGAACATTCTAGAACAACAGGAATTTATATTAGCAAGTAGTACTTTATTTTAAAATTTTTCTCTGTGAAAATGTGTTGCAAGTTATATAATATATAAGCAAATGCATAGAATGATGTTCTCATTTTAAGAAATTAATTTTATTTCACAGCTTGTTTTGCCCCCAGCAATATATCCAAATATGGGTATAATTTGTTTTCAATAGTGAAAATTGTTGCAATAATTCATAGGAGGGTGGAAAAAATGAACAGATGATCTGGAAGGCTGTTTCTAACTAGAAAGTTTTGTAACTAAAAATGGAGCAGTATATTGTTTATAACTTTGTCTATAACGTAAAACCATCCATTTTTCTCCAGAACAAAGACCTCTTTGTCCTCACCTATGGAGCGCTTGTTGCCCAACTGTGTAAGGATTATGAAAGAGATGAAGATGTGAATCAATATTTAGATAAAATGTACGTACAGTCTTTCATTCTTGTAGAGTGTGTACATTGTTTCTTAACCTCCTCTGCATTTTGTCCACCTCAAATTACTTCTTCTATTTCAATAAATAACATCTTAAAGCTGAACATACTTTCTGACAGCTGCCATTTGGGTAGTCATAAAGCATAAAGTAATAGGAAGAAAGTTTTCCATGAATATCAAGCATGGAATGTTTTCTTTTTAGTTGTAAATCATTTATTTGCTAGGATATGGTAAGACTGAAATCGTTTTTTGTGTAAACAATAAGATGGATCATCAAATTTGCTTCTTTTCAAAAGTCTTGTTTTTACATCACTCCTTCCAATATAAATACATGCTTACATAAGGATATGCAAAAATTACTAATGGCAGTTGCCTGAGAGAGCTGGGAGATGAGGGATTAAGTAAGGGTAGAAGGGAGATTTACTTTTTCTTATGTAGTGTCTTTATTGTTTGTACACTTTTACCATTACTATGCTTTACTTAAAATATATACTAAATAAAGGAACTCACTTCTTCCTTTTAAAATACAGCTTGTCTTCATTAATGAAAATTCCTTCTGTACAAATTCAGCCTTTAATTTTCTCAGAATAATTATATGATCATCAGATTATTGCCCAATAATAAAATATCTGCCAACTTTTTTTGAACCTTTTAACTACGGATTCTGAAAAGGATTCTAACAGGGCAATGACTGGAAAACCTGTACTAGTTAGAAGATTTGGTTAGACAAGTTGAATGGGAAATTTAGCCTAGTTGAACATTTTAGAGCTTTTTAAAAGGGTTCATTGTATCTTCAGTTGGCATACAGAAAAAACAAAAAACCATAAAGAAAGCTTGAAAGATTTTTCCCCCCAAACTTTGGTTTTCTCCCTTTCCATATGTTTACCCTTTTTCTATTGAAAAGTTCTCTTTCACTGTTTTGTATGTATTTATTTTGCTCCACACACTTAAAAAATTTGTTTTAAATTTCCTCTTAATTAGTCAGGAGCACTTCCTCAGTTAAACTGTAAAAGTGGAGCTGTTTAAGCTATTTTACATTTATGTCATACTTAAACATGTGATATACAGAGGATGCTAGAAAAAATGTATACACATTTTAAGAAAGAAAAAAAACTATTAAATTGTAATACCAGTATACACAGATAACAAAAGATGAATACAAGTCACGTTTGACTTCTGCAATTACAAGAGGTTATCAAAGTGGTTACCATCAGTGTCCAGACGCTTCTGATTACGGCAAACTACTACTTGAGCAACGCTGACCAAAGTGTCCACTTGTATACATTTTTTTGGCACCCCCAGTATAGCATTTCCAGAAGTTACATCATTTTATTTAGTTTATGTTAAATTTGCATTGTTTTGTGGAACATCATTAGAAAATGAAGATATTCATTTATTTGACTAAAAATATACCTCTGGTAGCTACTACTTGCATGCCCATTTTAACAAATATGAGTGAACTATTAGTTAAAGAATAAATTTTGAGAGGCTTCAGAAAGGATTTGCCTTAAGAAAAACCATAATTCACATTTAGGTTTCTTTAATAGCTCCTGCCAAGAGCATCTTACATTTTTAATTTGATATATAAGTATACAAAATACCTTTTTGCAGAAACATACCCTTTGACCAAAGCAAGATATATATGCAGCACTGACCATGACATCCTGGCTTACCGTCACTTTTCCCGGTGGCCAAGCCTGTGCATATACATAAAAATTAGAAAACACTGAAAACATTTTTTAAATCCTGGTACAACTTTATTTCTGTAAAGTATACATTGTGTTTTTTAAAAGACTTTTCAGTGTGAACTTCCTAACTAGAATCACAAAACATTTTTCTTGAAAGACAAGTAAGCTAAACTGAATGTTACTCAGAGATATGCATAGGATATCACATAGATTTAGTGAATTAATGAACACTCTGACATCAAACCAGTCTTCCTCAATCTCCAAGGCACCAAATATCTGCCCCCGTTTTAGACCCTATGCAGTAAATATTGCCTCTACCAACCTTGGTGTTTTTATCTTGTTAGGCCTTCTGTTGCTCCATTCAAATTGGTCCCCTTGTCTGTGTACAGTACATGTGGCTGTGAAAGTAAAAGATCAATATTGAGTCAGTGGTTTGGCAAAAGCAGTCCTGTTCTTTTTATTTCCATCGTTAGGTTATTTATCCTCAACTAGATTGAAAGTTCTTAGGTGTACCTTGTTGAGGGTGTCTGCTTGGCCATTTTAGCTGCATACTCTGTGACATGATCACATCTCAACAAAATGCTTTCAGAATCGTACTTCAGGCACTACTCAAGCTATTCGCTATGCGGTGGAGCTAATACAAACACCTTCCCTCAAGTCCCAGAGATTCAGTTTCCCTGGAATGAAAAATGAATTTCCCAAACTTGGCTTTTTCTCTTTTCACTGAAATTCAGAGTTTTAACTGCCGAAATCTACACTGGCAACAAAAATTGATTTCTCCGTTCTCTTCTTCCCCTCCTTCCAGAGCCTGTCCCAGACATGCCTACCCTCCTACCATGATAACTATGCTAAGAGAAGAAGGAGCATCTCAGTACCACACCTATAGCAGGCAACAAGTTAGCTAGACTTTCATTATGTTTCTGTCAACAGCTAAAGGTGAGAAAGTTAGCTGCTAATGAGAAACATTAGACTACAAACACCAACCAACCTTCTTTACTTTTAGCTAGCACTGTCAAGTTTAGGCCAGCCTAGACTCCTCAAATTCCTTTGCTAGTTAATATTGCCTATACGTGTTGCTTTCTGTTTCTGTGGTCTGTGGGACAAATCAGGAGCCCAGGGCCAAATAGCCATTTGACTTGTCACGTTTGGCTTAGCTTGTTATCCACTTGTGCAAGTGCTAAACAGATGAATCCGTTCTTCGACATTGATAAACTTCACTCATTACTCGAATATGATTTTCAGAACACACTCTTTCATCCACAGGGGATATGGTATTGGAACACGGCTGGTGGAAGACTTTTTGGCTCGCTCTTGTGTGAGAAGATGCCATAGTTACTCAGAAATTACAGACATAATTGCTCAGGTAAATGTATTTTTTTGTTGTTTTTAACTGTCAATATGTTTTGAAAATCTTTGATTCATCCTGAGTTTGGTGGTTTTCTGCTCTGACTGAACAGGTTCCATCCATCCACTATTAGGTGCTAACAGAGGGGATTCTGATCAAAAAGCATTTTATTTTAGCACAGAGATAAATCTATTGTGAACAGAGATAAACGCTTCCAGGCATTTAAGCATCTATCAATTTTTCTGACCAAATGTTATGTGTGGAGTATAGTATGTCCCACACTGGGAAAAATGTTTCAAGTAGGTGAACAGAAGGCAGCCTCATAACATGCATGCCCCAAACCAATTTCTTTATGTAATCATTTTCAGCACATGGAAGGAAGTAGCCTTTGGCTGTCTCAGAGAATATTGTTGTAGCCATTTCATTCTGGAAGCAATGTTTTCCCAAAAGAGAAATAAAGCTTCCTGTAAATGTATGCATATGTACTCTAAAAACTTTCACAGCCCTGATGTATGAGAGACAACTTGGAATCATCTGGGACTAGCTCAAATCCCTTAGACACAAGATGAAATTGGGAAATGCATCCTTAGCCACAATTCTTTTAATCTGCAGGCCTGTGGTTATTAACCTGGTGTTGTTCATTTGTGGGAGACCTAGAAAGTATGCATGGACATGAGATATTTATGAGGTCCAGGTATGCTGCCTCCAGGTTCTCATAACTGACCAATTAAATCAGTCTCATTCTTCTTTTCTCTCGTGATCCTTAATATTGTTGTACATTGCCATACTGGCTCTTCACATCAGTGGCAGTAATCGTTCTACACAGTGCTTTGTGATTCCAAATGCAGTTTTACGTAGCTTTTGCCTTTCATCTTTATAGTATCGCTGTGAAGTATGCAACATAGGAGTTGTTACCCCCATTTTCCAGATAAGAAAAGTGAGTCCCAGAAAGAATATGCTAAATATTACATTCCAGTGAATGAGAAAAAAGAATTGTACATTAAAAAACAAAACCTAGGGCCGGCCTAGTGGTGCGTTGGTTGGAGACTGGCTTGGGATGCCAGAAGGCCCCGGTTCAGATCCCACATATGAGGGCCAGTGACACTGCCCTCCACAGCTAAGATGCTGAACAACAGCTCAACCTGGAGCTGGGCTGCCATGAGTCGCCGGCAACAGCGTAGGCTGCAGCCCCTGTGGCAGTGGGTTGCCATGGGCTACCGTGTGTAGCCAGCAGCTAGCGTGAGCGGCCAGCAGCCGCAGTGAGCGGTGTCCAGAAGCCAGCGACTGATCTGCCTCGCCTGGGAAGAGAGCAATGATGGTGCCAACTTGGGCCAGTGAAGCAACGTCCTCCACAACTAGACTGAAGACCAAAAGGAGAGCAACTTGTCTGTTCCCCTTCCCCCAATTCCCCAGCACTGTTCCCATCCCCCAATTCCCCAATTTAAAAACAAAAAAAACAAAAAAAAACCTAAATGAAAGATTTTCCCACTTACTGTTATTATTACTTTCATTATTTCATGACTTATGAGTCACACAGTTGAAATTGAACTCTAAGTCTTCAAGCCCCAGTGTAGTCAGTTTACCACACCAATAAACCATTTAAAATGTTTTTTTTTCTCTTTCCATATTTGAAGAATATAACTAAGACCTGGAAGCAATAGTTTGAAAAATGAAATAAATTTTCACTAAACCAATTCTATGGGCAATACTACAAGAATACTAGCTCTTCTAATGGAAAGTAAATATTCAAAATATATAAATGTAGATGGTTGTGTGCTATTTCTGTAAAAAGTGCCATTGGGATTTTGATGGGGATTATATTGAATCTATAGATTGCTTTGGGTACTGTGAACATTTTAACAATATTAAGTCTCCCTATCCATGACTATGGGATGTCATTCCATTTGTTTGTGCCTTCTTTAATTTTTTTCATCAATGTTTCATAGTTTTCAGTATACAAATCTTTCACCTCCCTAGTTAAATTAATTCCTAGGTATTTTATCCTTTTTTTAGTGTTACTGTATAAAATTGTTTTCTTAATTTGTTTTTTGGATGGGTTGGTGTTAGTGTGCAGAAATACAACTGATTTTTGTTTGTTGATTTTATATCCTGCAACTTTTCTGAAATCATTTCTTAGTTATAACAGGTTTTTTTTTGTGTGTGTATGGTGGAGTCTTTAGGGTTTTCTACATGTAAGATCACATGACCTTCAAAAAGAAAATTTTACATCTTTCTTTCCAGTATTGATGCCTTTTTTTTGTTTCTTGGTTAATTGCTCTGGCTAAGACGTCCAGTATTGTGTTGAGTAGAAGTGGTGAGAGTAGGCATCCTTACATTGTTCTTGATCTTAGAGGTAAAGATTTCCATTTTTCACCATTGAGTATGGCATGGGGAAAGGATAATCTCTTTAACAAATGGTTCTGGGGAAACTGGATATCCACATACAAAAGAATGGAATTGAACCCTTATCTTACACTAGACTCAAAAATCAACTCAAAATGGATGCAAGATTCCTTTTTATCAATGAACAGAATATTTTGTCACCCTCGCCCTTCTTTTGTGCATAAGGGTTGTCTCCTGGTCTTCACGTTTTCCTTCAAAGGCCTGATTTCCTCTCTCTTAATTATTTTTACTTCTCCAGCAAAATGTTCTTTTACATGTGGGAATGATGTCACCCAATTCAGGAGCATTTTAACAGAGATGAAGGGTCAGACTTTAGTTATGTACTCACCCACTGATGCTTTGCTTATAATGAGTACCTTTCATTAAAAGGTTTGGCCTTTGCAAGCATTAACTCATTAATCTTTGTAAACTCTCCTCAGAGGAAGCAGGTGTCAAATATTACAGAGTCAGTTTTATAGAGAAGTGGGCAAGATCAGAGGAAGTTTACCATGGTCACATGCTACCCATGGAGCATAGAACTAATGGTTGTGCCTTTTGTTTGGCTGCCCTCTCAGACCATGTACCGTATTTCCCCATGTATAAGACGCGCCCTTTCTTGAAAAATCTGGGGTCTAAAAACTGGGTGCGTCGTAAAAAAACTACAACAATGAGCACAAAAACAAGCGTGAAAAAGTGAGAAATGCAAGTAAAAAAAAAGATCTACAACCACTGTATAAGACGCACCCAGTTTTTAGACCCCAAAGTTTTCGAAAAAGGGTGCATTTTATACATGGGGAAGTACGATACTTATGCCAGGCACCACCATCATCCTTCTCCATACTTAGTGCCTATTTACCATGGCTTCCAGAACTCATTGTCCAGAGAAGAGAGGGAAGACTGCATTTGAAGAGAATTGACTAGATGAAGAAACCTATGTCCAGATGAGTGAAGCAAGTACTCTAAGAGCTAGTTACTGAAAAGACTACACGTCGGAACAGGTCTCCTGACCTCATGCTGTACTCTATACTCCTCTGCCTCTCAGAGAGGACGATTATGTAACTTCAGATTTTAATAACATCTCCCATTCTCTTGTTTTCCTCACTTGGCCTTTTGCAAAGGTAAGCTGACTATATTACTAAGATTCTGACGAATTATTTTGACAGGCTTTTGATCTCAAATTGCGCCATCTAGTGGTATGAAAAAACATGCCATGACAGGCCCAATCATTGATCAAAAAAACATCTTTAGTCAGCCTTCTATTTTACATAAAAATGAGATGACAGGCTAATTCTAAAATCTTCCTGCGACACTAAAATGTGTCCATTTTTAAATGTGATTTTATAATCTACAAGTCCACTTTTTGTGTGATTGTCTCAAAGTACAACAAATTTTAAATAAGACATAATTTATAAAAATTCTGTTATAACGTGATATTGAAAAATTTTAGAAACACAGAGTTTTTCTGAAGAAAAGCTAAAAGTAATTCCCACCTATTATCTATTTTTCCCTTACAATAGGCTTGTGAAGTAAAGATAACATCTATTATTAGCCCCATCTTACTGATGATGTAATTCTTAGATGACATCTCCATTGACAAATAGTAAGAAAAGCCAGCTTAGAATTTATTTCTTCTGACCTGATTCCAGTGCTTTTTCAAAAGAAATTATTGTTCCCTTGAAAATATACCTTTGAAGATTTTCTCCTATTATGATCATTGTCTTGAGAAAAAATGGGAATGTGGAATTTGCAGTAGAGTTACCTTAGCTAATTTTAGTTGTAATGAAAAATTAGAGAGTTTAACTGTAACTTAACAGGCATACATCTCTGTTTATTATAAGGGCAAGTAGAAAAATAGAATCATACCTCTCTCTGGTCTAAGGTCTAAAACACACCTCCTTAGTTTCACAAAAAAATATTTCATAGTTTCCAAACACATTTAGGAAAAGCCTGACAAGAAATATAATGTTGCCTTTTAAAAGTAATTTAAACACAAGGAGTTCTGATGGTCATCAGATTCGGAGCAATAGTCTAACCAAATCCAATGTAGCAGCGATTAAAAGATAGGAGTCCTCATCCCGCTGAGCCACCGTCCCACTGTGTGACCCTGAGCAAGTCATTTAGCCTAGCTGAGCCTCAGTTCCATAATTTGTCAGATGAGACCTTGCAGCGGCAGCTCTTCTGATTTTCAGGTATTGCTTTCTCTAGCCAAAATCTGGACACGGAACTACCATCATAAATAGCTGAGTGGCCTGGGTGTAGCTTCCAAAGCTTCCCTCAGGGCATCCATACCTTCTAGTTACTTACAGTGTTAATGAGTGCTTGGCCTAGCACAAACTCTGTCCTTCAAAGCTGGGAAAGCTTCTTACTGTCAGGTCAAGGTTATTATGATAGTTGTTCTAAGGAGTATAGAGGAATTTATCATTTTTCAGTGTAAGCATCACATCATTGATATTGTCACAGTAGGATGAAATTTTGCAATAGAGAAAAACACGATATAAAATATATTTAAAATATAAAAATACTTTTAAAACTTGAAATTCTGATCTTTAGTTTAAAAAATTGGAGCCCTATATACTGACCTTTTAAAAAATTCTGGAAAGCAAAAATGAGATCTTTTCCTTTTAATAGTATAAATT